CTTCCCTAGCCACCACCCGGCCACACCTGAGGCTTTCTACAACACGATAGGAAGACTCAAGACGCTCTTGATGTCTCGCTCCATTTCCTGTTGCTCACGCATTCAACAGAGTAAACACAAGGGCTTACCATCAAGAGGAACTGTGCTCATCAGCATCAAAGATAAGACACTATCTCCATCCTCACAGTCCTAATAATCTTGACCCTATGCAACTCTGGCAGAGCAGGATGTGTCTTCTAGGTGTTTGTCTTTTTGTTGTTGTTTTTCATGGAAATGGCTTTACTCTTTGGTGAATCTAAAAATATATAAAATTCAAAAAGAAAATAATACATTGCAATAAAAAATGGGGAAGAGAAAGTTGAGAAAAATCTCAGAAAATACAGCAAAAAGAGAGAAAATAGCAAAGCAGAGAGGACAGAAACATTAGAGTGGCAAGCTAAGAGGTTCAACATCTGAAAAGTGGACATTCTATGAAGAAAGAAAAGAGGAAATGGAAGGAAGATAATCATCAAAAAATAATTCGACAATATCCCAGAACTAAGGACGTAGGTTTCCAGACTAAAAGGCTACTGAGTGCCCAGTACAAAGGATGCAAATAGACCTGCGCCAACGCATATCATCATAAATCTTCAGAATACTGGGGATAATGAGATTGTGTAAACTTCCAGAGAAAACAGTGGAAAGGCCCTCCCAGATCCAGCCCTGCTCCCCCTCCAGGCCCCTCTCCCCAGCACAGTACAGCCCAGCTCCCTGCAAATGTGAGTCAGACTATGTCCCTCCTCTGCTTAAACCCTCTTGCAGCTTACACCGCACTCAGCATAAATAAATATCTAAAGAAAACAGGGGAATCAGGCTTTAAGACCACCTCTAAGGTCTGATGACTCATGATCATTAACATTTTTGAATTAATAACAAAAGATTCTGCTTTACAGGCAGCTTTGTTGTTAGCCCATGGACTTCATAGCTTTCAGCATGAAAGCAGCAGGCAGCTGCTGACAGGCAGCTGGTGTGGTTCCCTGACCAGGAAACAAACCCAGGCCATGGCGTGACAGCGCCGAATCTTAACCACTAGACCCCTGGGGCTGGCTGACAGACAGCTACCAAAGTGGAATTGTTCTGCTTCCTACCTCACTCTTCAGGTCTTCTTTTCTTTTCCCTTGCCAGTTTTCCTTTAATCACAAGTCCACACTTTTTAGTGCAGAATGTTGGAAATATCAGTATGGTATCCCGCGCATTGCTCCTGAATAGGATTTTTAACGTAACGAGTCATAACAGGGTTTCCAAAGAGTGTTGAGAAGTGGGTAAAGTTCCCACGTGAAGCAAGAGTCTCTCAATTCTCCAGGGGGCTATGGTGCGGAGGAGGAACGTGAACACGGAACAGCTCTGTCCAATCAGGCCAGGCTTCCCCAGTTTGCAACGGCCATTGGATTATCCTGCGTCTAGGAAGTGAGAACTTACACATGCCTTGAACATAAAAGGTGCTCGACTTATGTCTGACCAAACCGAGCTTCAGGTTCTTCAAACTAATCAGCTTATACTTTTAGGTTAGATTCAGTCAGTATTTATTGAACACCTACTTTCTGCTACGCCCATTGCAGGTGTTGGAGATGCAGCCAGGAAAGGACAGGTGAGGTCCACTCCCTCTTGCAGCCCACGTTCCAATGGGAGAGTCAGATATAAACCAGACAAGGTAGGGCAATGGGATGCACAGCAATGGATGGAGGCTCTGAGAAGGGATTACTGTACGTAAGGGGTCAGACAGAGACGGGAAGATACACTTCACCTGAGCGAATCATGAGAGGGAGCCAGCCACATGAAGGCCAGGGAAGACCAGGCAGAAAGAACAAGAGTAAAGGCCCAGAGGCGGAAAGAGGTGGAGTGTTTGAAAAATGAAAAAAAGTGTGAACTGGTCAGAACATAATAAAAAATGAGGAAGAAGGTACAAGATGGGAGAGGTGAGTAGGGGTCATATTACGTAAGGGCTGGGTCGGCCGTGTGAAGAGTTTGGATTTCTCTTCCTACATATGGAGAAATATATTTCTAGAAAATTCTCGGCCAGATTGTCTGTTTTGTATCATTTCCCATGCTATTGTATTCACTTACCAACACCTTCCAAGAAACAAGCAAATGAAATGAGAATTTATTCTTTAAACAAAATTTTTTCGTCTTTCATATTTTAATTCAACTGTTCAGTCACCTAGCACATAAGGAAAATTTTTTTTTTTTTTTTAATGAGGATACAGTTCTATCTCATTCACGGGAGAAGAAAAGAGAATTCTTGATGAAGGAATGGAGGAAATTCACTCTGCGGCCTGACTCCTTTTTCTCCTTCTGGGCCACCCCACGTAAGAGGGATCCTGAAGGAAGACGATTGCTCAGCGCGTGTCAGGCTGGACCAGCTGGGACCGTGTTGCAGACTCGGAGGGAAGTTTTCTCCACTCAAGCTGGTTTGTGTTGCAACGGCCACCGTATTTCAAGATACTTTTAACATTTTCATTTTGGGGTATACGTGCAGGTGTTTCTCCTTTTCTTCTGCTCTTCATGAATCTCACCTCTGACGCCACTTCCTCATCCGGGTAAGCATTCTCCACCCATAGAAGCGCAGGCTTCTTCTAAAGGCACTTGATTAGGGTTTGCTAGCCAACGTAAACAAAGTATGTCCAGCAATTCAAGGGATCCAGAAAGCTGGTCCTGGGGGGGTATTTGCCAGGTAGGGCAAGGCTAACAGTACAAGTGAGATGAAACCATTTCATTCAACGGCTTTAAGGGACCCATTTCCCAGAGTCAATTTTGCTGTAAGGCACAACTGCCTCGAATAAGGCAGGAATCAAAAATTGCCAAAGGACAGAAGCCAAAACAGAGTGCACCAACTCTACAGATAGAATGCTCTCCAGTAACACTCACCTGCCGTCTACCCTGCCCTGTTAATGAAATACTCCATGACAACGTAATTATTTTTAAACACAAAAAAAGATTGTTTTGTTTCTTCTATTATAAAATGATTTTAGTCCATAAAAAGGAGATATCTCAAAAATGGTGAAGTCTTTTATTTAAAATACCAAAATGCCGTATACATATTGAGTCAAAAGAGAGGCGAGAGAGTGTCTGGTCCTGTGAACGATTACATCACGATGTGGTTGTCTCCTCGACAGACTGCAGCTCACATCTCGCCTTCCCCTCACAACTGCTTGTTCCCACATGGCATCAATCCATGGTTCTTGCGAGTTCCACCCGCAAATCCCGAATCAAATCCCTGCCCTCCGCTCCCACCTACTGCCTTCACTCAGGCTCTTCTCATCTCCACAGACTACTCTAACAGCCTCCCATCAAAACCTCCCACCGACTCTTCCTGACCAAGCTCAAATGTCACCTCCTCCAGGAAGACTCCCCCGCTCTCCATGCCATGATTAACTCCAACTTGCTTTGCCACAGTAGCTCTTAGGACACACCTCTTACAACAGATTGCCCTCTACTGCAGTGCTGTCAAAGAGAAATATGAAAGCCACGTGTGTAATTTTAAATGTTCTAGTAGCCTCATTCAAAAGGTAAAAAGAAATTAAGTGAATTTTAATGTTTTATTTAACCAGATATATCCAAAATATTATCATTTCAACATGTAATCAATACAAAAACTATAACAAGGCATTCTACATTTTTTTCATATTCTTCAAAATCCAAAGTGTATTTACATTTAAAGCATATTTTAAATTTAGACACTAAGTTGTCATAAAAAATAATTGATCTGTATTGATGCCATAAACTTTACAGTTGAAAAAGTAGATTCATATACCCAAGTTGTTCCAAATGTACTTGAAAGTTTTATAACTGCATCAAATGTCAAGTTTTTGCTTTAAATTAAAATAAAATTAAGTAACATTTAAAAATCAGTTCCTCAGTCACATTAGCAACATTTCAAGTGCTCAAGAGCCACGCGCAGCTAGTGGCTGTTACATGGCATGGTGCGGCTCTACCGTAAATATTCGTATATACATCTGTCTTCCCCGATAAATCAGGCCGTGTCTAATTCACTTGTATCCTCCCCATCGCCAGGAATAAGGCTTGGCGCATAAATGTGGGCCGAGGGGTTTTATGAAAGTCTGTTGACTAGATAAAGAAAAACAGATGTGACAATCACTTTACTCTATCACATCTTTAAATCAAGAGCATTCTTTTGTAAGGAATATAAATGGAAGTTTTTACACATACGCGCACACACACACACACACACTCACGTACACACAGGCCTGTATGAAAACTAATTCAGACTAAGTGATTGGATTTGTTGCTGGTTCCTTCAATAATAAAATGACTTCATAGACACCATTCCCCCTTCTGTGCCTGACCCTGTCTTCTCCTTCCCTTAACGCATTATGGGTATTCTACACAATTAACACTTCACAATGTGTTCTTACACTCTCGAGTTGTCTTCTCTATGTCTTGCCTTCTTAAAGTACATTTAAGCTTCTGGAGATAGAGAGCTTTCCTTGCGCCTGGTAACTATCATCACACGTGGCTTAATGGCAACAACAAAGTACAAGAATTTAATATGTAACACACAATCAACTCTCAGATGCCTTCTTTTTCAGCGAAGCCTTCCCCAATCCATCCCGGAAGCCCAGCTCTCAGCACTCACGTTCACCCGCTGTCTCTGGGTAGCTGGGACCAGCGCCCCACCCACAACATCGCCTCTCTATGTGCTACAGCGTGTTTTGCACGGGCGATTGTCCTGCACCCTCAAGGAGGCAGGATGCCGTTTGGAATCTCTGTTACAACACCCCCTCATTACCTGGTTGCAGTACCCTCAGCAAAACGGACCCTCCTGCAGGTGAGGCTTTCTGCCCCCACTTCCCACCTCATCTGCCCCTACCTACCAGCCAGGGGACGCAGCACAATGGGACAGAGAGAATTCTGTGAGGGCAGAGATTTCTGGTGTTCTTAGTCGCATCTCCTACTTCCAAATAACTGATAAATCAACACAAACATAAACTTCCACAAAGGGGGCTACAGGAGGTTTATCTTTTATTTTAACGTTGCTCGAATAAGGACAAAATAAAAATAAGCACGAAGCTGTCTTGGTGAGTCAGTCCCGGGGTCCCTCTGCGTCTGTGCTGGAGTTCTCTCCCTTCCGCGCGGACAGCTCCTTGATGGCATCCATCTCTGCAGGGGTGAACTTGGGGGTGAGCGTCACAGCATCATAATCGAATTCTTCATCAAGTGAGAAGGGCTGGACTTCGTCCCCGAGCATCTATTAAAGATAACAAAGGAGGAAAATCATATACAATCTTTGTAAATGAAGATAAGGTTGAAAACATAAATTCTCTGTTAATATTTAATTAACTTTTCTTAGACTTCAGAACTCTCAGCTGATTAAGCTGTTTTTAAGTAAAGGAATAAATTCAATTATTCAATTTGACCTAATTTAAGCCTGTTAATATGCCCATTTGCACCATCTTGCATCTGAAAGAACATCATTAGCTAATTCCGCCCACGGCAAGAATCAGGAAGTCTCTTTTGCACATATTCATGACATTTTTACCACTTGTAGTGTTAGGGCTGGAGGCATATGAAAAAACTTAGAGCTATATTAAAATGCGAGAAAGTATACCTTAATATTTTGATCAGCCTTAAATACATTTTCACCATCTACAAAAAAAGACTTGTATCAAGGGCCAGCCCGGTGGCACAGTGGTTGAGTCAGCGCACTCTGCTTCAGCAGCCTGGGGTTCACAGGTTTGGATCCCAGGCATGGACCTACACACCACTCATCAAGCACAGTGTGGCGGCATCCCATTTACAAAACAGAAGAAGAGTGGCACAGATGTTAGCTCAGGGACAATCTTCCTCACCAAAAAAAAAAAGACTTGTATCAATAAAACATAAGTTTCAAAGATAAAAATACCCTATACTTAATATCCTTACTTCTTGAAATAACACATATAATTCCTGGGCCACAAACAGTAGGAATTAAACACATAGTCTCAGCTTAAATTAAAAAGTCCAGGATTCCTTTTTCCCCACCAAGAATTTTAAAAATATTACAGAGTTTATCATAAGTCTGAGTAGCTGTAAAGAAATGTAATGATTTTGTATTTATTTATTCACAATCTGTGAGTTTTAAAGTCTTCCTCAAGGAAGGTAGATTAAAAACCCTATTTTCCAATAAACCAGAGGAGAATGCCTTACTTGCACTGTATCACCCTACGAGGTCTCCCCAAAAGCAAAGGTGTGAGAGGAGGAAACCCCTCAGCCCCGCTCTGTAGCTCTGTCATACGGATGGTGATGCTGAAATAACTGAAAACTATGGTTTAGACAAAAATGAAAAAAATGCCCTGAATTAATAATCAGCTTTTAATATTCTGGCATGAAAAATGATCCCATTGAGTGGCTTTTGCAATGTTCTTGAAAATGGAGCTTATAGCTCAGAAACTATGTGCTGTTATTGAAGGTGAAAAAAACAAGCCATGAAAAGCAGGTATCTCCTATCTGTTGGGCAAGCTGCACCTTGCGGTTCGATGCGCAGGGCTAACGGCACACACCCAGCCATCTATCATCCTTTCCTAGTAAAGCCAGCAAGGGAACAACTTTCAGAGACTTGTTCATCTCCTCTATTAGAAAGCGTATGCTTCCCTGGCAAAGACAACAATTGGAGATGCCCCAAGTGAGTTCCCACCAGGTGCCAGCCCCAGTACTCAGAACCACATGGGGATTAGCAGTAATCTTGAAACAACACTACCTGGAGGCATTGTTACCCCCATTTTAGGAAGCTCTGAAGGCTTAAGTACTTGCCCCAGGCTACAGTCCGTAAGGGGGAGAAGCAAGATTTGAATCCAGGGCAATGTGCTTCATGGAAAGCTTCACCCTCTCAACAAAGACAGCAGTAAAGATCCACCTTGAAGTTTTCATTAAGCTGAGTCACAGCTCTTTGGGAGAAAAGACCTTTTGTGAATAAGCTAAACAATTCCCATCACCTATCATAACAAACGTACTCGAGGCTCCACGTGATCCATGACTGTCTTGCAAAGAGCAGCTGTACACGGTGAGTCGGTCTGCAGAGTGGCTAATCTGTCCACTTTGGTCACTTTCTGAGATTAAATTTACCATCGCCACAAGCAAAGTGACAGTAGGGCAATGGTGCGTAGACTGTCTCAAATGAAGAAACACGTACACAATGACACAGGAGGTTCATTTCTGAATACAAGCATCCTTGCCTCTCCAGCTCCGCTCAGCGGTAAGCAGCGAGGCGGGCAGCCTTGGCAGCAACCCCATCCTGAGCCATTGCTATGGATCCTGGCAGATGCCGAGGGGAGCCCCACCCCCTCGTGCATTCAGTGTGATGGCATTCACGCTGCCCTGTTATGCCCCCTGAGAGGCCTGGCATCCACGTGTCCACCAATTTCAGGCTGCCCGTCCCCACGTGTTCCCACTGCACCCCCAACCCGAGGCCTCTAAAAGCTGCCAAGATCTCACTGGCCACTCTCGCTCGAGGCAGCCACAGTGTCTTCACCGACCTCCCTCGGAGGCCGGAGCACAGTTTCAAACAGAGAAATCCCCTTGCTGAGCTCAAGTCCCCGTGACACCACGCTCCTCCTCACACTCGCTCTACACGACACAAACAACCCTCCATTCCCACCCCACCTTCATGCGTTCACGCCATAAACGCTTATGAGTGGTTAATACATAATAGATACTGGGACACAGGATGAAAAAAGCAACATCTGTGTCCACGAGGTTTCCTAACTTCAGGGTGAAGATAGAGGTAAGTGAATGATTTCAATACCATGTACCACGCTCTCCAACAAAGGAACACAAAAAGGGTTCCAGGGGCGTGGAGGGGCAAGTCTGAAGCTGGACTCGCTCTCAGTCGCGCATGGCCACCTGCCAGGAAATCCTACTCGCCTCCCACTCGCCTCCCACTCATCCGCACCCAAGACCACCTGTGTCAGCAACCCAGCGAGAGTAAGGCCTGTCTGCCGGACTTCCAGATCTCTGATAGGGGCTCGCTCCCAGGGCCAAGTCAGTCCTCCTGGATATGGCCCAACCCATCATCCTCACTCCTCTCCCTTGAGCTCCTAGCATACCTGGCGGCCATAACAGCCGACATCATGGTGCTAAGGATACAGAATTTACCCTTAAGTGGAAAAATCTTATTTTCCTTTAAGTTTTTTTTCAGACACTTAAATTCTTCTCTGTTACGGAGCACGATTTCCTTCATCAGTCATTTGGTATTAAACAAAACAAGAGCAAAGAATAAAGTTTTTAGCTAGTCAATAAATGTGATGCCAACACAAGAATTATTCATTTGTAATACACTCAAAGGTATAAAAGTATACTTAAAAATGTCAATTTCTTCACTTAGAAACTGAGTTATTAACAGCAGCTATTAGATTAATTCTCTAGCCAATTGGTTAAACGCTGAAATATAAAAGCAGGAAACCAAGAAGAGTAATAATTTTATTTGCAATGCCAAAATACGATATTCAAGACATTTTAAATCATTTGGTGTCACTGTCACCCTATCCTGCAATGTTGCCAGTATATCCCTGAGTCAAAATGTCGGAGAAATGTCCTTCAGATATTTTCCATTCTTTCCACAAACACTATGTTCTTATTAAATTCTAGTCATGTGCTAGGTGTTGAGGATACAAAGATGAAGACTTGTGTGAAATGAGAGAAATGAGATAGACACATAAACAATCACTAGAGTGAAATGTAGTAAGTACAAATGGGATAGTTAGGGGGTGACGGGAACAGAGAAGGGACGCCTAACCCAGGCCAAGGTGGAAGGCATTGGGAAGGAACCAGAGAAGGCTTCCTGGAAGAGGTGATATCTAAGCAGAATCTTAAAGGGTAATATTAACTAACAAGGTTCAGGGAAGGAGAGCTTTGCAGACAAGGGGAGTTCTCAGAAGCAGCCCACGGAAATAAGATACAGAATTTCACACGTGAATCCGCAAGTAGTTCAGTGTTGTCAGAGCATAAAGTGTAAAGCAGAGGGTGGCAAGAGAGGAAGACGGTGCTGGGTCATGACAGGTCTTACGTGCAGTTTATCCTAGAGATGATGGAAGGTCCCTGAAGGATTTTTTGAAAGCACATTAGATCCTTGGTCTTCTATGCATTGCAGATAAATTCCTTCCCTCATTCTAATGTTCACTGAGCGCCCACAATGAGACAGGGGCTGGAGACACAGGCGTGTCCCAAACTGAAAGATGCCCTGCCCTGCGGCCAGTGCACCTAGAGAGGTCACTGTGGAGGTTAAACAGAGGGTCGATTTGGAGTCAGCAGACTAGGCAGCGGCCTGCTGAAGCTCCTGCTCAAGCATGGCGCAGACAGCAGAGATCTGACAATCTCAGAGAGGAACACGGCAGCACTCGATAACTGGTCTGGACACAGAAAGAAAAGAAGAGCAAGAATGCAGGAAGGGAAGCGGGTAAAGATAAGCTCAGTTTTCCACAAGCTGATGTGAAGGTACCCTAAAGGAACCCAGACAGAGAGATCAACAGGCAACTAAAACACAACCTGGAGCTCAGAAAAAGGCCTGAGGCTGGAAATACAGACACGGAGGCATACACGTAAAACCTGCAGATGAAAATGGATCGTGAGCGGGAAGAGCCAGAGGTCTGGAAGGAACACCGACGAACCCCAACTCAGAAGGGGTGGGTGGAGGCAGGGAATGAACAACCAGAGAAATGCACACAGAACCGACATCAGTGAAGGGAGAACCCGCGGACTGCGAGTGTCAGGGAAGACTGACGGTGGAAACACAGGAGAGACAGCCATTAAAACAAAGACTGAAAGTGTCCTTTGAGATTAGACAATTACAAAGTAACTGTTACCTTTATTCTGAATAGGTCCAGGAGGGTGACTGGAGCCAATGACATTTGCATGTCGAATGAGGAATGAGGGAAAAGGAAGCAGAGTCAACTAGCAGAGTGGACTCTAATGGTTCCTGGAGTCTGGATGAAGAGAGGAAAGACAACAGACAGCAGCCAAAGGTGGTCCAAGGTCAAGGGAAGCCTGCTTTTTCTTTTGTTTTGTTTCATTTTGTTAAGGATGGGAGACACCTGAGCCAGTGCACACGCTGAGGAGAACGAACCAACAGAGAGGAAAGAGAGGATGGCCCTAACCGCGCTATGATCCCAGGAGATCCCTCCAGCAGCTAGTGAGGGCTTTTGTCTGTCTGGTCATTCAGCAGTTGCTGCATGCCTACTGCACGCACAGCACTGAACTCGCCCCTGCTTGACTTTTTTGCATTTTAATTAAGTAAGCTTATGAAGACACACAGGAGTGAATTTAGAGTCTTCCAAGACAAGAGGCGCATGTGTAATTCACAGTGAAACGAGCCGCACACTGAAACTCAGAAGACATCACTGTGATCTTTGAAACGACAGCTTTTGAAACAGAGTAAAGTTGCAATGCTATTTACGTACTTCAGCTGTTGGCTCCTGTGCACACTGGGAATTCTCTTCTCTCAAGTCAGGTTCATTTTGGGGTTCAAAGCTCTGTGTCTCCGAGGCTTTAGGTTACAAACTGAAATTATGACTTATTTCAAAGAGCACACTCTGTGTAATGGAACACCAAATCCCCTACTGCTACAGAGACAACAACTGTGAATTCAGTTATTAACTTGTTATTTTTGCCTAAGGAGCTGAGAGAAATATGTGGATTTCAGGTGTCTAATTTCAAATCTAATTGAAATCTTCCTGTAGCCTCTCAGGGAATGGAATCCGTACACTATTAGAAAACTGCTAGTTTCCTTCAAATTGCTCCTATGACTTGTTCTAAGAAAGACACTGTTACACAAGGAATCACTTTCATTCATCATACACATGGGCAAATTAAAGAAAACAGAACTAAGGCTCAAATCAATAATAGCTGCATTTAGCTGCAAGTTATCTTACAAAGTAATATGGTAAATAAACTATAGGTGAGAAATTTTAGAGTCCCACCATGAATTGGAAAAACAAAGGTCTCCCATTAAAATACCGTAAAAGCTTCTTCCGTGACCTCCTCTACCGTTGGCAGGGGGAGCAGAAATCACAATTTTTCATCTTCCTAATGTGAATTCTTTTTGCTCTATAAAGCTGTTCAAAACTTCCAAAATTCATTAAAATAGAGTAACTAAAGCAAGAAGTTACTTACAAATGGAAAGTGGAAGCTTCTTGTAAAACGTTTGACTTTAAGGGAGAAATAAATGCACATGCATAAAACCATGATAAAATGAGGGGAAAAATTAAATTGGTCCAATTCATATCAGGAAGTTATCGATTCTTATTAGGCAATTAAGAAGAAGTCGGGACATCCACGATACATTTATTACAGAAAGCAACTACCATCTCTGGCCCAAAACAGCCCCCGGGCAGGCCTTACAGGACATATTTGCTAGAAATTGATGATTATGCTCTCTTACTGGCTTTGAGTACTTTAAAATGAGATTAATGCTATTAAAACAAGGCAGGATTGTGCAGTATTGTGATTCTAGACAGTTCTGAAAAGTTTCTCTAACAAACAGTTGTTAGAAATAAAAATCCCAACCAAGATATTACCCTGGGTATTCAAAACAGCGAAAGCTACTCATCTATGTCTCACGAGTTTGCCAGCACAAAAATTTTGATCTCAATATTAAAAAACGTTTGTGTTTTTGGGAGAAGAAATTTATAGTCCTTTTAAAGATACAACCATACACAAGGTTCTAACTTGCATTTTACTGGCTTTATGAAGTTTCCAGAAATCACTGGTTTTTTTTAACCCATCAACTGAAACCTTTTTTTTGCAGGGGAAGATTCACCCTAAGCTCACATCTGTTGCCAATCTTCCTCCTTCTCCCCTGCCAAAAGCTCCAGTACACAGTTGTGTAGAGTTGTAAATTCTCCCAGTTCTTCCATGAGCCACTGCCACAGCATGGCTGCTGACAGACGAGAGGTGTGGTTCTGGGCCCGGGAACCACACCCGGGCCAATGAAAAGGAGCATGCCGACCTTTAACCGGTAGCCCATCATAACGATTTCCATAAGGGCACAATTACAGGCACCATGAGCACTGCCCGGTCCAATAATTTGTATGGTCACACGTGAAGTCAAGACCATGAACAATCTTTAAAAGAAACTGATTCCTGTTAGAAACAACCTTGCGGTTTTAGCTTCTTACCACTCAGAGAAAGCAATCCATGATCCAAAAGCATATTGAGAAGTGACTGTCCTAACCAGTTTATCTGGTAACCAATTTAGAGGTTTAATATAAACCTGCAAGCATCCTAGATATACTTCTGTGATGTTCGTGAACAAAATTTCTACAAGAAAGGGGCAATTAAAGATTGAAATGTGTGGATTACTTCTGACTGAGCAACTGCTTCCATAACAGAATATCTTCAAGCAACAAGACTAGGACCTGAATGATTAAATAACCAAGAAACACCTTGGGGGTTTATTAGGCAGCAACAATACAGAGCCCTTAGCAACTCCTTGTGCCTGATCCCCTTTGAGAGTGAAAAGGATGATAAAGGTCACTACCTGGCACCCCCAGCAGCCTCGGCTGGTGCACGTGGTTATGTATATGCAGAAGAGCTGCAGATGATGGCAAAGACGACTTTCAAGTTGTGCATTTGGAAGAGCAAACGTGGTGGAGAGCCCGTTCTCCCCTGTGTGTCAAGCACATGGCCCGATGACATTGCCCAGCCTCGCTGCTGGCAGGGAGGAACATGTGATTGAGCGGTCACCAATGGAATGCGAGTAGAAATGGAGAGTCCAGAATCCTGAGTCTTGGGGGACACGCTGTCCCCATGCCCTCAGCCGCTGCCCCTCCAGGTAGGACGGTGACCTGACTTAGATGTGCACGTGAGGACAACGTCCTAAGGCAGAGTGGAGATCCAGAGAGAAGGAGCCTGGACCCCTGCTGACCGCAGGGAACAGAGCCACCTGCTCACTTTCAAGGCTCCGCAGACTGTTAGAGGAGAGAAATTCCCTTCTATCTCCTCCAGCCACTGAATTACCCTCGGGATGCTCTACTATAACAGCCTGCCTTACCTTAACTAATGCAAGACGTTTATGGGACCTCGGAAACAATAATAAAGAGAAAAATGGCCAGTTCAGACTCAAAGAGATAAGAAAACTGTCCGTCCTTTCTAGTGCGTAGTCCGCAGTGGCACTGTCCAGCAGCACAGCGTACATCATGAAACAAATACAGTTTCCACATAAAGACATAATTGCTCTCTGTGTTAAAAAAGATATACACACATTTGAGATAGATGGCAGTGAGAGGGACCCAATTAAGCAAGCTGAATTCTAAATTTTCCCATGAGAAAAATACAGAAGCATGTATGTAAAGCAGCATTTCTCTGAAAGGACAGGTTACAAAATCAAGGAAATTCTGAGACAGACGGAATTCCCTGCGGAGTACCTCTTCCCTCTGCTTGTCTGCTCCTTTCCTGGCGGGCGTGGGCTTTCCTCCAGGGGGAAGAGGCTGGGCCACGGAAGGGACGTGAGAGGGAGCACTGGCGCTCGCATCCGGCTCCACTTCTCCCGGAAGCAGCAGCAAGTCTGTTGGATACAAAATACTTCACTGATCCTTTCACCACGCTCACGACTGACCTCACCCACCTAAAGCCTCTAATAGGCAAAAGAACGAAGCAAAGACGCTCAAGTCAGGTGGCCCAGCTCACGCTGCCTGTCCTCGTTTAGGAACCTGACCGGAGGGATTCCCCTTTCTATAAAAGAGCAGCCACTGGTGCATTTATTTATATCTTATTGTTGCAAAGTTACATCCCATCCAAAAGTCTGGAGAAACATTGTTTTGGGAGTAACTTGGTCTTGCCTCTCACCCCCAAGCCAATTCCTGCTTCTAGAGGAAAATAAGGTGAGAAGATGCTACTTTTGCCTCCTTTTCCCATCTTCTCCTGAGGGTGGAGAGAAAGGAAGTGGAGTGCTGATTTCATCCTGTAACGAGACAGCAATACTTCAAAAATATATTTAAAAACAATGATGCCAGGAGGAAAGAATTTTAACTTTCAGCAGAAAAATGAAATACTCTGTCATATTCAGAATACATGGTCTAGTTTTCTTCGCTTGCAGACAACAACAATGTGTTTCCAGCTTGTTTAGCACAATCACAAGGATTCGATAACCAATCTTGGTCTTCTGATCGATCCGTTACAAGTGGACATGTTCCCTGATTTTTGCGTGGGTGGCAGAACAGGGGTGCCTCGCAGACAACTGATGATCCCCCACAGACTTCTTCAAGGAGGACAGAAACACACAGCGGCACGGCAGGTCTCCTGCTCGGTCTGGGTTTTCAGAGGACCAGAACGGCTGCGGGAGCTGGCCAAGAACTTGCAGCTGGCGTGCGGTGCTGCTGCCTGCTACTCAATGATGATCCTAATGAAGACACTAATTAAGTTCTCAGTGGAAGTGATTAATTAACAACAGGCATGCCTTGGCTGTTGCCAGTGGCAGCATATATAGGGAGATAATTGAGCGGGTATTGATATTGAAAAACTGAAATTTATTTGAAATACCTCTCTCACCACTGCAGACAATCACCATCATAAAAAACATGATCATGAAGTTCTTAAGACTCTAGCAACAGAGACCACACTCAGACAACCTAGAAACTGAGAACGTGGGTAGGGGGATGGGGAAGAAGGTAGTTCTACTACAACTAATTATTGAAATCTTAGAATATGATCTAATTAATTAGCAGAAATGAAAACAATAATAATAGTCAAACACTTATAAGGTGACATTGTGTATGCATTAACTCAGCTAAGCCTCCCAACAGCTCGCTTCTTTCCTGCTCTACAGGCAATGGGCTCTAGGCACTGAGGGGAGCTCACTGGAGGGGCCATGGCTGGAAAGAGGCAGAGCGGACAGCCCACCTGCAGAGCGCGTGCTCTCAGCCCTCCATGTCACAGGAGCCTCTTCTAACTAAGTATTTTCCTTACCTATGTTATTGAAATCTATCAGATTATACATCCAAACTCAGGACCAACAAATGCCACTGCTATGGCACGTTAGCGTGGTGAGCAGTGTTAAGTGTCGTTATATTTAACACCCAGAGAAGCGATATTTTAAAATCAATAAGGTTGGTGGAAAGACTGCCTTTCTAGTGCACCTGTTTATGAGTTTGCAGTCAAACTCCCTGGCTGAGCTCCCTGGCGTAACTGCCGAGGACTGGCACAAGCCTCGTCAGGGGCCGGCCAGCAACAAAGGCCAGAAGGGAGAGGTTCCCACCTCTTAATGGGAAAACCAGTATCCACCAGACCCGCTGGCTGCCAGTGTAAACGCCAGTTCAAAGGTGAAATCGAAATCAATCCTGCTTTCAGGGCTCTTTAAAATCTGATTGACAGCACTGTGCACCGAGGAGAATGACTGCCATTCCTTTGCTGAAACTGTTCGCCTGCCTAATGTTTGCAAAGAAGGTAGGGTTTTCGACAAAACGGCTTCTTTCACAAAAATTCTACTGCCACGGGAACAATTCCTTCAAAACAACTAGTCAGGATCCTCCACACTTTAAATCCTTGTCATTTGTTTCTCCAGGGTGAAAGCAAGATGCACAAATGCAGAGCTACTGGTGCCTAACATTGCCCCTTATATACAGTAAATTCTCAACAAATCCCTGCAGACAGAAAATTAACTTCCTGCTTATCAACTTTCAAACTGAACAGCAAGTAGCAAGAGTCCACCTACCAACAGGACATTGTGGATGATGTAAAATAGGCATAGTCCTTACCCTCAAAAACTAAATTTTGTTACAGGGATAAGATTTTCCCACATAAAATCAGAGAATAATCAAGAACAAAATTGAACAGCTTTAACTCTGAAGAGGGCAGTTTTATAAAAGAGTGAACCCAGTATGGATGGGAATAGTCTGGTAAGACATAGGTTATGAAGAAAGCTACCTTATCTTTCAGCCATTTTACAATCATGGGTATGTTATTCACAAACTCATATTCTCTGGGGGAGAAAATGATTACACTCATTGATGGTGGGGAATGGAGTTTCTGAAGTTCTCTGCAAAACTTTCTGAAACTGAAATGCTTTAAGAAACTTAATCTGGGGGCCGGCCCCGTGGGCAAGTGGGTTAAGTTTGTGCGTTCTACTTTGGCAGCCCCAAGTTCACTGGTTCGGATCCTGGGCACGGACCTACACACCACTCATCGGGCCATGCGGTGGCAGCGTCCCACATAGAAGAACTAGAAAGACTTACAACTAGGATATACAACTATGCACTGGGGCTTTAGGGAGGAAAAAAAACTACAAAAGAGGAAGATTGGCAATAGATGTTAGCTCAGGGCCAATCTTCCTCACCAAAAAAAAAAAAAGAAAAAGAACAAAAGAAACTTAATCTGATCTTATTAATTGTTGTTTCTAAGACAACAAAAGGCCTTGTTTTCATCTTAACTAAATACCACCATCATGGCTAATGTGCATTGTAGAGTCAAGGCCACTCTCAACAATGAATCTTGATGTTGGATGGCAAGAGTGGTTGAAAACACTTCAATCTCTTCTTTCTCAACTACATGATAAGAATTCCCAATATTTATACATTATGTGTTCATGCCATTTGTCTTTCTGTATTTAGTCAATGATTAGCAAGTCAGAAGCTATAATCACCTAAATTTAATTCAACATTAAAAAGTAAGCAATCTACTTAACAGCTGATAATTTAGACAATAATAATATTTAATAAATAATATATAAATATGCCTGGCATATTTATAAAATTAGCCAATCTGTTTCTTTGTTACCATGTAGAGAAGGCCAAAATTTTCTGAAATTTTGAGTTCTCTAAGACCAAAAGGATATAGATAAGAAATACGTTAGTAATCCAGGCCTCTTCTGCACACAGCTTCCAGTTATGAGGGTCCATCTCAATGTTCTTGTTCTCACAATTTTTTGAAGAATCTAAAGAGCTTCTGTTTACGTGGTTTATATCTATCACTATTCACCACATTAGAAATTAAAACTGACAAACTTTCAGATATTTGTTGAATCATTAAAAATAATGCCATTATATACTAAAATAAATATTTTAATGCAAAATCTATCTTCCAAAAACAAATAGTAAGAAGAAAAGCACTGTTTTACATTTTTTGATCTTTTTAAATATCTGCCCTAAGAGAAGAAAGATGAATTCTACATTTGCTTCTGCATTCAATTTTTGAAATATGTATGTCAACTGAAGTAAATGAAGGAAATATAGTCTCTCACAGATATGTAGTTGGAAAAAAGGAGGAGTACTGTAATAGTCTTTTTATATAATTGTAGACATTCCTCTTTAATACCATACCAGACTTAACAAACTACAAAGTTTCTAAAAATAGTTTCAATGTGCAATCTGAAAACGCCTCAATGAGTTTTTCATTCTGTTACATTAAAATTCACTGGTCTATCTTACACGTTGAACGGATCTTTCTCCTATGCATGATTCTGTAACATCATCAATTGGTCATCTGGAAAATACTGGTTCACTGTTTTATGTAGATCTTCCAAATGTTGACATATTTCATTATACAGTATAAAAATCACATTAGTTAACATCACCAATTTTATCAGAAACACCTTTAAATATTGGGAAGCTGTCAAGCTCACACTACTAGATACAAGTTTTCCTAATTTTTACTTGACCCATTGCCAGCTTTATCACTGGCAAGGAATACTCTCAGCTGTTTGTCTTGAAGAGGCAGGCTCGCTCCATTCATTTCTGAGAACTATAATTTGTCTCAGTCAATCTCTCAAGTAAAAATATTGGTCCACGAAAGAAAGAAAAAAAACTAGTTCAGCACACCACTCAATCACACAAGTTTCTCCACGAGATAACTGTTATATTTCAGGATGCAGCAGAAGTGCTTTCTGCACACAGTCACCTCTTGATATCTGTCGGGGATTGGTTCCAGGAACCTCCGCAAAGACCAAAATCTAGGATGCTCAAGTTCTGGATATAAAATGGCATAGTATTTGCATACAACCTACCCACATCCTCCCGTCCACTTTAAATCATCGCTAGTTTACTTACAATATCTAATACAGTGTAAATGCCATGTCAGAAGTTGTTATACTGCATCGTTTAGGGAACAATGACAAGAAAAAGTCAGAACGTGCTCACTGCAGATGCAGCCATCCTAGGCCTTCTGATCTTTGTTTGTTTGAATCCGTGAATGCAGAACCCACAGATATGGAGGCAAGGACTGTACTTACTATGTCAGCACAACAACATTAAAAAAGGTGTACTCAAAGATTAAGATTTAATAAAATAAATAATTTTTACCACTTTATCAAGGGCATTTTCAATAGAAACTGGCATTTGTTTTAACTGCAATTTCCTAATAGTGAGGATTATAATGACTACTAGCATAGTTTGGTGCCATGACCTTGATTCACACTGAATTACACCACCTTTACTCCTCATTGCTTTTGTTACATCAATGCAAACATCAACACATTTGACCTTCAGACCTTGGGGTTTCCCAAGGAGTTCCTAGACCACATCCCTGGGGTCCACTGGTTTAGCTAGTGTCAGTCCAACCTTCCCACCAACACTA